TAAATCTAGGATCGTTGTGTGTGTTTTTGCTTCATGAATCTTTGTTATACACAAAGATTTGCGTTTTAATCTTTGTTTTTCAAGTTTTAGTGAATTTTTCTGGTGTTGAATTTTTTTTTGTCTTCTTAATTTTTTTTCATAAAAATCTGTGTTTGATCCAATTTTGGTTAATTTTTTTCTTTCTTTTTTTCCTAAATCGCTCAATTTTTTTTTCAACCGGTTTTGGCCCAATCTTTTTTGAAAAGAAGCCCAACAATTTTTTAAATCGGACAGGTCTTTTTGTAAATCGGTCATCACCTTTATCCAAGTTCATCTCTAATCAAGTTCATCATCTACAAAATACCTTCTCCGATTTCAACCTAAATCGCACAAGGCATCATCCGATTTCAAATAAATCGAAGAACAGCTTGAGCGGATTCTGCGTAAATCGTACAAAGCCCATCCGGTTGAACACTTGGTTTTGTAACACACTAGTTACCGAATCACAATTAACGGATAGATCTTAAGCTAAATTTCAAGTTCAACCTGAACAAAATACGGGATACATATATTTATTTACCATCAAAAGATAAGTTTTATATCAACATTTACATCTGAAGGGCCGAAAGTATTCGTCAGGAAAATAAAGACTTCAACCCGAAAAGAGTGACAAATACTATCCAAAAACATAGCTACAGTATACCAAAATATGACGGTCCTCGATTCCAACACGAACCATCAACGATCTACAATTTTCCCTTTACTCGTAGCTTCTTTTCCTGAAAGGTTTACCACTAAAAGGATAAGCTAACAAAGCTTAGTGAGTTTAAATGGATATCATGCACATTATGACTCATGTAAGTACATTTATAAGAAAAATCTAGAAGTATAAGAGTCAATATTTATCAAAAGCAGGTGTTAACGGGAAATATAATTTCAAGGAAACCACAAAGACAATCAAATGAATTTATAAGACAAACACTTCAATAATCAAAATCACGCTATGCACAATTAGTACATTAACCAACAATTTAAGTCTAAAACAATAGACAATTATTAGGCATGACTGACCAATCCGTATTCGTCCACT